TATGCGAATGTGATTTGATTATTTTTTATGCTATCTAATGATATATTATTATATGGGTTGTAAAGGCTTAATAGAAGAAACCCTGGTCTTTTAACGCCCTGAAGGTGTAAAAAAATAATAATTCAAAATAAATTCATATATTAAAATTATGAAAAACATGACGACTTACCATAGCAAAGCTAAAACTATTCACCGAAATTTCTATAACTTCGGGTTCCCTTTCATGTCGAATTTCACAATAATCATGATCATCACCACTAAACACGAGTGTTGGTTTTATATGATCCAATATAAAATTTGATAATGACTCAGTTATTAAATTTTGATATTGGTAACCTGAGCCTTGGTTAATGTAATGTCCATTTTGCCGCAATGGCCCACAGTCGGTATTTGGTGGGCGATATAAGGGGACGTGTGTCATCAATATCCGGGGAAAATTATTCGAAGAATCTATTAATAAGTTCAACGAATTCAATTCACAATGACCTACGTATCTTAATTACTACACATATCTTAAATTATTTGCTTATACATACCATTTTCAAGATTTTCAATTAGACTTATCGCTTCTTCTTTCCGAGGTTCATCTGATCCACTCAATGTTACAGTGTCGACAATAACTATCGAATGATTACCCAGCACAACATTATAATTTGTTTTACCAAATATTTTTCGAAATCGGTCATATGCACTGGGAATTATATTATCACCGAATCCAATATCATGATTCCCTACCAAATAATAAATTGGTGTTCTTGTTGGTTTCTTTGGTAAAAATAGATGGCGATAACGGAAAAATTCATCTTCCCACCTATAATTAAAATAAAAATTAATGGAATTCTACTTATGATACGTTAAATATTCCATATCCATTGAAAAAAAATGAACTTACTTATCATCATCCCATTCTCTTCCTCCATCCATTAGATCACCCAGAAATATTATTGCATCCGGATCAAAAATATTTTGTAAATTTATCCAATTTTTTCGCATATACATGTCAGGATACACTTCGGATATTTTTTGAAGTATACCCGTACGACCATATGAATAACTATCTATTATCTGTGGGTCGGCAATCAATGCAATTCTAAATGGATTGGCCAATGATGTATCCTGATATATATTATACAAACTAGGTTAAGAACTTTATTCAATGCCTATGCAAAGCCTAAAAAAAACTTGAATAATATCAAAGTGAAATAAAATAAACAGTCAAGATACCCAATGAGAATGATAAGGCCAGGAACATTTTCGCATGGCATAAGAGAATATAAAGATTTCGCCAACTAACAAAGCACTTATCCATATTACTCTAAAAGCACAAGTAGGTGACCGATTCTGAACTCGACGTGGAATCCGCTTTACAGGGCCTAAAAGTTTTTGGGTGATTTTCGAGATTAAATGGAATGGAAATCTACAAATTCTGGCAAGAATACTAGCACAAAAAGGGCTATTTGTTGAAGACTCGATGGGTGTTTGTTTAGGGGGAAGTTGCATAATAATAATAATATATACAAAGAAAAATGGTGGCGAAGCGAAATGGCTTTTATAACAAAAATATCTGAGTAACCCCCGTACGTGCGTACATACTTGATACACACGTTTAAAAACGGGCACGTGAATCATACCAGGGATCTGGAATTACCGTAAAACGCCGTATAAGGTACCCCCCTTGATTTGTACCGGGTATAAATCAAGGATCGATTTAATAATGAAAATCTTTTTTTACTAATGGGCTAATATATGTTTTTCACAAGATACCCCCCATATAATATACCCTCCTCCATACAAGGTACCCGGGGGGTACAAATCAAATTTTTATCATGTGAATTGTAAGATACCCGGGTACCTTATACGGCGTTTTACGGTAGTGAATCAGAATCAATTTAAAATTTTGTTGAACGATTATCTACGTACGTACGTACTTCATACGCAACTAATTTACGACGGTAGTTGTGATATCGTGATGAATCGCTACCCGATCGACCAATCAGAGAACAGGATCGAATGTTATGTGAAAATCTGAAGTCGAAGCGATTGATTTTTTTTTTAAATTGGAATCCTACAATATCTATGAAATTGCTATTTCGTCTTAATAAAAAAATTCTTGGATTAACGATCTTTTCGTTATCGTTATTGCCTTACCGAATATTAACCGGGCTGCTGTTTGTTTTTGTTTGGATTTAATTAAAGAGTGGCGATGCTTCGATATAAATTGCAAAAATATCGATTTATGTTATACACAAACTTAATGCCGGCTCAGTGCCAATTTTGTCCAATAAAAATGCGAGATTTATGTCCCGTGACCCAATAGTAGTTTATCGTCAATGTCGGGGATGATGCTGAAATCGGATGATGCTGAAATTTTGAGTTTTATGAAAATATAAAACCTATTAAAATCCACCTATACTCTTTTATTATAAACACTAACCCTAAATTCTAATCAAATTATAAAAAAAAGCTGAACAAAACATCACAAAAAAATTATAAATTTTCATAATAAAATTTTAGCATCATCCCTAACACTTTTTGGAATATTGTTCTCCTGATATTTCTATAATATTCTCTTTGTTCTAATGACCTTGTAATGTTTTTATTGTTTCAAAACAAGTAAATAAATCCTTCTGCTTAAACCTTCTTTCTTGTTCTTTTTAAATCCTTTAAATAGTACTGCTGTAACAATATGTATATTTTTAGTTTTAGTTTAATAGTAAAATTTTTTGACATATACTGTAGTATTAATTTTAATACATACAGTATAATATTAGAGATGTTATCTGGTACATTAACAGATATGTTAATTGAGATGTTATCTGGTATGTTAACTGGGATGTTATCTGGTACTTTATTTGTGTTATTATTTGGATTGTTATTTGGTACATTATTTGGGTTCTTATTTGAATCATTATTTGGTATATTATTTGGTATGTTAACTAGGTTATTAATTGAGTTGTTAACTAATAGTCCAAAAGATATAAAAACTCTAATTTTTTTCTTAAAGCAGGTAGAACTGTTCCTTACTTATTTTTAATTTCTTGTTATTTATGATTTATTTTTTTGAAAATGTAACTATTGCTTACTTTCTTTTTATTGTGTTTAATAAAACTTTTATTATTTAAAGTTATGTCATTACCTTTTATTTTTTTTTTGAGTATTTATTTTTGAATATTAAGTTAAACCATTGTTTCTTCTCTCTTTTCTTGAATATTTTATTGTGTTTTAGAATTAGAACCATCACCTCTTTTCTTTATTTTTGGTTTATTATTTTACTTTAAAGTCTCTTATAGTTTTCTTTTTGGATTTATTCTTTTTTTTGTTTGTAAACATACTGTATTCCTTAACCCTCTTACATGTTAAGTCAAGTAGTATAATTTTACTAAGACCCTGTATTGCATATTACAGTAGTTTGATTAGTAGAGCAACTTGTTAATATTCTTGTCTTATCTGATTAATTAGTTTTAAATAAAGCTTATTTTAATAACCACTATTGAAGGTTTGTTTGTATTACTTCTCTATTCAAGTTTTGCCAAGCAAGTATCTATCTTTTCAGTTCTTTGAGTTTACAATTACAAGATTTATTTTAGATTTACATTACTCATGCTGGCTTGTATACCTTATACATTATATAAATGCTTTACAATCTTCTAATCTTGTTAGTATCACCAAAGTTACAGAGATTCTGTTTCAACTAATTAGTAATAATAGATTTCGAACCCCTCAATATTCTGGTTAGACCCGATTTTGGAACTCGCCGAAAATTTCCTATTGGCTGATATCAATGATATCAATTAGATCTGTTAAGATTATCAAAATTTATTGTAAAAATTTTTTATCGCTATTTCTTACAAAATGTCTCTGATAATGCCAGCATTCATAGGTAGTATGTAAATAAATTTGCATTTCAATTCTATCACAAAATTTACTCTTGAAATTTGAAAAGTTAAAAGGGCTTTGACGAATTTCGGCAGCATATGTCGACGACGCGTATTTTACAGAACACAGGTAGTGTATGTACCAATTTTTTTCAATTTAATTGATTCGGTTTATTTTCAGTTCGCAAATCTTATCCATGATAATAATTGTAATTTTTCGTTGAATTGATGGCAGTATCTTTCAAGAAAGAGTATTATCACTAATTCATTTTCAATTCTACGAAAAAAAAAAAATTATTGCAAAATTTTAGTACAAATTATTCTCAACTCATACCCAAAAACCGAAAAATATAAAGTCTGAAGAATCTTTACGCAATCGTTATATAGTGGGGGTAAAGAATTATTATCAATAAACTTTCCTATTTTGGTTTTTTTTATGTTATTTTATTAATCATTTATCACTTAATAATTATAAAAAGCCGTTTACATGGAAAAGTTTGGCATTATTTTCAATGACAGGAGTTGGATTATTCTTTTACTTTAGACATGAAAAAGCAAAATTAATAGAGAAACGTATGTATTCACATATACATTCTGTGTTTATTGTTATTTCTCATTTTTGATTATCTTATAAAATATCAACTTTAAAGGCAAGGAAGAGCTAGAAAATAGATCAGTTGGAAAACCACAAATTGGTGGTCCTTTTGAATTAATTGATCATAATGGCTGTGTAGTTACGGATAAAGATTTCCTTGGTAAATTTTTATTAGTATATTTTGGGTTTACTCATTGTCCTGATATTTGCCCAGAAGAATTGGATAAAATGTCAACGGTTACAGAAAATATCAGTAAGTAATGAAACTTTTATTACAAATTTTATCTGAAATATGAAATATTACAATTTTCTAAATATATATTGTTAACAGATAGTGATCCAAAATTCGGAAAAATCATGACACCAATTTTCATATCATGTGATCCACACCGAGATACGTATGAAGTTATCAAAGAATATTTAAAGGGCAAGTATAACTTTAAATGACATGTTATGTATAATTGTTCTATCTATTTATATGTTATCTATATCTAAATTTTTTTGTATTCGTTTCAGATTTCCACAAAGATATGATAGGACTCACTGGTACATACGAACAAATAGCAAAAGTTGCAAAAAGTTATCGAGTTTATTTCAGTCGTCCACCTAAGGTAAAGCCTGGTGACGAATATTTAGTAGATCATTCAATATTTTTTTATTTAATGGATCCGAATGGTCAGTTTGTTGACGCTTATGGAAAAAATACTACCGCTGATAGTGTTACGGATAGTGTTAAAGGACATATTAAAAATTTTATTGATAGGGGTGGCGTAATTAAGAAATTGGAGAGTTAATATTGCAAAAGTACAGTATTTGTACACTTTTGACAAGTAATTGAAAGCATGTAATGGTATATTGTCATACGTATTATAGAACTTCTCAATTTTAAATTCACCATAAAAATAGTCACGTGTACGTCATGGGTGCATGGAACTTTAGTTCACGTTTATTTCACGCGATTCTGGAAAAGCCCATTAATTCACTATAAATCTATGAAAAAATGAGATTCGGATACAGTTTTTAATATACATACATGTAAGTAAAGATCATAAACTACCACTAGTACGTACGTACTTAATTGTGAAAAAATATCGATATACGTATAAAACACTATTTTTTGGGCAATTGGCTGATATAATCTATGATAATCTTAGTTATATTATCTTACTGGATTTATTGTCATTCAACCATTACGCGATCTCTGATGGGTGCCCTCGCAAGACAGCTGGCCATCGTGGGCCATTTACAGCCTAGTCCCACCCTAGATCGACTTGTCAAATTCTTCAACCATGTGCCGAGTCTTGACAAAGTTTTAATGGTAGGTTTACGTGTTAACCTTAATCACTATGAAAACGATTTCTACAATTCTTAAAGAGATGTTTCTTTTCTTTATTCATATAGCTGGTACAATACTTTTCTATAGTCCTGGCATGGTTTTTTTCACGTTCTGGCAGGACCTCCTTGGCTGAACGCATCAATAACTTAGGTATCCCCGTCGGGGATATTAGGATTTTGTTAAGGTGAGCTTTTTAACAGGCTTTTTTTTACTGTCCTTACCCACAAACAAAGAAGTAGGATAGGTATTATTCTCATTCGATCCATATAGAATAATTTAAACTTCAATATAGTGCATCTTTCTTTAGGAAAATAATATTAATTATAAATTTCGATATTATTAACGAAAATTCATTTTTTAATAGATTCTTTGGGCTACTGCCCTTGATACAGTGGATGATTCGTATTGAGCATGAACCATCCGCGACCCCCCTCCTCCTTAATATTAAACGGTTACAAAATGTAACCATGTTGTTTTTTTATCCCCTGGAGCATACGTGGTATTTGGTTCGTGGTCTCTTTTCATAAAGTTCTCAGGTTGTTTCGTCTCGAATGTCACTAACTTTATTATCAACCTTTTTATTATTATAGGCCTACCACAAAATTATTTCAATATCCGATGAACGGATAAAGAAAATCGCCACCTGGAGTTGCAGGTGGTGGGCGGTTTACGTTTTACTCCAATTTTGGCAACTTTCATCCGAATGGAGCTTGCTTAAGCGCCGTCGGAGAGATATAATAGTAGTGCGGGATGACGTTGAAGCCGTGCAACGGCAGAAACGTGAATTAAAGGCCGAAGGTGACAGGATTTTTAGGGAAACCCTTATCAATATTGGGTATTTTCCTTTGACGGTAAATAACATATATTACTAGACGAAATTATATTCTTTTGTAACTAACAATTTTTTTTTTTTATCATTTATTAGATCCACTGGTCACTTGAAAATTCTAAGTTTCCCGACGTTGGTGTCGGAATATTTGGGACACTGGCGGCAGCTTACGAGCTGTCGAAGGCATGGAAAGACACTGAACACTGAACACTGAACCACGGAACACGTAATAATAAAAACATTAATTACATTAGTTTAGGCCACGCAAATTTAATGTCTTGGTTTTCGTAACATGAAACTTTTAACAGACCCGGTCGGCCAGCCGGCTTTTTTTTAAAAAATTTCATATAAAAATTTTTTTCAAAAACCCACCCGTTTATTAAAACAAAGATTTTTTTACAAGTTTTCAAATTTGACCTTCTGGGTTATGAAAACCAATAAATTAATTTTGCAAGGTCTTAGTTTCTCTTTTGAGGAATTTATTGGTTTATTTTGAGGTAAACATTTAGAGGATTTCTCCTTTATATAATTATGTTGAATTGAAATAAATTCTTGATTGTATATTATTAACACTAAGTTTTTGTCCCTCTTCGGGAATAGTTTGTACTTTTATAAATAGTAATACAAATTTTTATAAATATATAGTAATAAATGATAACATGAATTTTTTTTTCTTGCAAAGTTATAGTGGCCTAGCCATTTATCGCTACTTGAATAGCCACATTCTGATTGGGCGAAATTATTCAAATGTAATTTTTGTCAAACTTTGAGAGAAGATATCTCGACAACCATCTAAAATCGATAATTTTTTCATGTAAAATCGAAATAAAAAAAATCCATCAATTTTAGATAGGCAGTTGTTGAGATATCTTCGCTCAAAGTTTGAAAAAAATTTGCCGCAGCTTTTGATAGTTATCTGTTTTCTAAGCTTTGGGCGAAAATATCTCGACAAATGCCTATCTAAAATTAATGGATTTTTTTTTTATTACGATTCTACATGAAAGTATAAAAAAAAAAAATTATCGATTTTAGATAGTTTCCAAGATATCTTCGTTAAAAAGTTTCCGTTTGAATAAAATTTGTCGCCATGGCTAGGGTATGTTCTACTACTGTCAGCTCGATAAAAGTTGATCTTGATATTGAGGATTGTCTCGAGCTTGGAATTGGAATTTTTTTATTTTATTATTTCAATCGTAAGTTTTTCCTTTCAAACATTATCATCCTGTTTTATTATGTTCTGTCTGGTTCGTTTTTGTCTATGCTAAAAACATTTGGCTTTAGCGCTGATAGAGAACAAGCAATTTACATGGAAAATTGTTATTCTCGTAATTGTGCTCGAAGTAGGATATAATGAATCATATTACAAATATATTACAATTGGTTGATACATATTTTTAATTTTCCAATGTACTTTGTCTGAAACAAAAGCCCTTTTACTGCATTCTTGTAAATTACTTTTTCTTATCTGAGGGATTGCTGACACTATACCATCGTTGAACAGTGCTAGTATAATTGTGTCAATAAATATCCGTAAGTAGAATGGTTTTAAAGGTGTTAAACTGACAACTATGATGATTACAGAAACAGTTCGCCATTCTTATTTATGGTTTGTTACAAACTGGCAATCTTAATGAAGCAATACAGCAATATCGATATAACAACTGGTGTCAGAAGCCGTGAAGACGTTGGTGCCACCAGTACACACCATCGATTTGAAATGGGAATCTAATGAATTAGACATTTCAGCAGCAAAAGATATATTTGAATTACTTTTTTATGGTAATACTATAGTTTTCACTGAAAAGAATGATCAATAAGACTTCAAGGATCTGCACTGTTTTGTTTCTCGTGAATGCAGTACGAAAAAGAATAAACCTTTATTACAACTTTTTTAATTCGAATTGAGACCACTTTGTGGATTATGTTTTGTTGGGTGTTACTTTATGATTAAGTCTGGAAAAAGAAATGTTTTAAAACAAACTCAAACAATGTCTAATCCTTCAGCAGAGAATAATAGTAATAGCATTGCTGGCAGTATTAGATTATTAGGAACTAGACTTGTAGGATTTGGAAGTGATTACGGTGATTAAAGGAATCAAAGGTAGTAACACCATATACATAAATTTATTTATCCTTCAATTATTTGTATTTACATTAATAATTATTTGAAGCGAAGCGAGGACGAATGCAACGTCAGCCGGAAACAACCAATGAAATTCGAGATTATGGATCCGTGATGATCTTTAGTCAGTGTATTGTGAATATACTGTACATGTTGGCAAAACTATAAATCCTCAAAATCCACCCAAATCCCAAAACCCAAGCATAATAAAATTGTCTTAAATCCCAAACCCCAAAACCCAATCCCAAACCTAGTAAAATTCGTCCCAAAACCCAATCCCAAATCCCAAATCCCAATCTCAAACATAGTAAAATTCGTCCCAAATCCCAATCCCAAATCCCAAATCCCAATAGTTTTGCCAACATGTATAATTGTGAATGAGACAAAAGATAAACAATTTGGCGTGATATATTTTCTAGAGTTTTAGCTAATCCAAGAGATAATTGTTCATACTCATAGGCAAATCGTTACGTATAACATTTGCCGGTCGTTACTCTAAGGTATGAATAAAAATTTTGGTTCATTCTTATTACACATCATTCTATATCTTCGAAAAGATATTTTTAATGTCTCTGGAATTGAAAAAAAACGATGGGCCAGCTTGTTGGAAAGCATGAAGATGGTATGTAACCACATATTGAAATTTTAATTGATTTCTGACCATACGTTTTATAGAAAGTCCAGAGGTCAATCGTATATGCAGTATACTTACTCATTCGTAGCGTCTTTGAAAAATTCCTTAATGATGACCTTACAGTTGTTCCAATGACGTTGAGTGTTTAACTTTTGAAGTTGACGTTAATGAGACTTGGGTTATACTCAGTGTTTAAAATCTATATGCGGTATCTGCGGTGCGCAGATTGAAAATTAATTCCGCAAGTGAAATTTTCTTTGAATCTGCGGATTTTATTATGTGTCATATATGTCACACATCTATTTTTTGAATTTTTATTATGTTTACAAACTTTTCCGCATATTGAAACAAAATCGAATTTTAAACACTGATTATACTCCATTGTAGATAGATATGAAATAATATTTTTAGAATCATTGAGGAATAATGAATGTGAAATCTCACACAAAATATTATACGATTTTTAATACAGTAGCTTGATGAACAACTGTTTTATAAAAAATTGGATCAAGATGCGGCTATAGAATAATTTCAATGTATATTAAAAGGTTCAAGACCAACATCTCGCAGTGGTATAATTGCACTTCGAGATAGTAATATATCACTGGCTTCGAAATCATCAACCGATTCTAACGCATCGGTGCAGATAAGTTGAAGGAAAGCTTTAAAACAACGATGTACCTTAGCAATTGAACAAGTTCGTAGTGGAACATTACCGCCTACAAATGTATTAATATTTGATCTTTGTCATAATAAGCTTGTTTTTCATAAATTTTTTTTTCATAATATAAAAAACCTATTACCGACAATCACGTGAATGTCGTAACCGTAAATAAATTGTAATATGGTTGTACAGAACGTGGTATAAAGAAAGTGGATTAGCTTCGCAGTGTCTTTGAACTTGAACTTACCCAAGTTCTTGGATATTATCTTTCGGTTTCAACAACTATTTGTTTAATACTGTAAAAGCACGTTGATCTCTGTTGCCATTGGCTTTCTAGCAAGAACGCACAGAGGCAGTTTAAACCAAAACACTTAAAGGCTTCCCCTCATTACAAATCTTTCAATTCGCGCGCAGTTATCAGCCTCACCGTATTTTATATTGTCGGTTACCTTGTCTTTGCGAGATAGCAAATACCTTGTTTATATATATTATTCAGAGAAAAAGGAAGAGCAAATCAATCTTCTTTGTTCTCTTGTCATAATTAACATCACTTCTTCTTTTTAATTAATTATTAAGCTTTTAATTTTTATTTATTTATTTATTTATTTTTTTGAACATACCTATTATTACTATTATTATTTTGTACAGGATGGATTCCTTTAATTAATTTTTTTCTAAATGGAGCGAGTACTATTTTTATTATTGACAAATTTCATCGCTAGTTCCAAGAGAACTTCACTAAACTGGTTCTTACCAAACAATAACTTATTCTTTTTGGCGTTTCCGTTTCTTCTCCACTTAGAGAAGAAAAACCGGCAAAAGTCAAACGACTTATATTCTTTGTATAATTTATATCCTCCAAATTGGTTATATCCCTTAATCCTTGCATTATCACTAGAAACCATTATTGCATCAAGCAATTGGAATTATTTGATACTTTTTTCCCCGAGAAAACCACAAAACCCTCGTACATCTTATAATAACAACGATTATTATCACCGGATCCACGATGAACATCAACGCCCCTGCGTTCGTTCCACAAAACATGTCATCCAGGGCAAATTCTTCATCTCCTCTTGTCTCGAGAGCCCAGATCTTGCACCAGCCTGACCTTAGAAGATCTAATTCGAAAAATCAGAGTTATCACGCCCAAGGAGATCAACATGGTAATCTGAATTGCATTTAGAGATTTTCAACTGCACGTGACTTTGTTCTGATTTTGATCATTCGTTATCTAATCTCTCAAAATAATATCAATTTAGTCCAATCGAGCGTGAATAACAATAACAAGAGGAACAGCAATCCTCATCGTAGACAAAAACGTCAAACGAATCACCATCAACGCAATCAATCCAATGCCGATTCGAGAAATTGGGATAGAACCGCAACCCATATTTCGGGTGATGATAACGAAGCAAATAAAACAGAAAATTTGCAGGATTCTATTGCAACTACCGTGTCAGCATTTGATGATATGTCATTAAATGATACGAATACTGTAGTAAGTGTAAATTACTTTTTTTATAATAGTTTGCTTAACTGTAGAAATGTTATAGATTAATTTATGATCCAATTTTTTCTAGTCGTATGGTGTACCTAATAAAAGGGGACAAATCTCTCTTAATCATCTTTTGAATTTCTCGTTCCCACCACGCCAGCGTTCTGTTACCAGTACTCCACGAAAACAGAAAGCTGTTAATTATCAACCATTTAATAAAGAGCGTTTTGTTAATGCCAAGTATGTAAACGTTTAATATTATTATCATAAATCCATAAATCATTTTTACTTAAATACTTCTTTTTTTTAATAGTTTTCGTTTTCTTGTCAATTCAATCGGTGATTATTCTGTTTATAATTTTGACCCAGGTATGTATAACGTTTTTAGCATTATTATTATTATTTGTTTTGCAGTTATTCATTTGAATGATAAATTTTATAATAGATCTTTTATTGCAATGGGAAACTATCGAACAAGTTGTAAGCTAAATTTAACATAATATTATGATATTTTAATATTATAAATTGTCTCTAGATTACAAAACCATTTTTGCTTTAGATCATCACAACTCCTACTACTCCAAGTTGTCCAATTTGTTTACAAAAACCAACCGCTGCTCGTGTGACCAAATGCGGACATTCTTATTGCCTTCCATGTATTCTTCATTATTTGATGTTGATTGATGAGAAGGATAAACCTAACAAGAAATGGCGCAAGTGTCCCATCTGTTGGGATGCTGTTTATGCCAAAGATCTCAAGAGTGTACGATTTTGGTCCGTAAGAAATATTGGAAAAATCGGGGATGGAGAAACGGTTAAGGGAGATGAAATGATCACAATGCGTCTCATTCAACGAAATGCTGTATGGCTTTGTAAAGTAATGTTATTGCGTGATAAATTTTATCATAATGTCTAACTATTTACGATTTTAATATAGAATTCGACGATTGCACTTCCTCGTTCGTCAACTTGGATACTTAACAATGACATACTTTCGAATTCTTCTGCACCATGGCACTTTATTCCTGATGTCCTTATTTTCTCAAAATTGATGCTCGCATCATTCGATTATATGCAAAAAGAATATAATCGAGATTTAGAAGATCTTCAAAATGCACTACAGGACGTTAAAAACTGGAATTCTGACGATGAAATTCCGTTTATTGAAATGGCCATTGTCAATGTTAAGGTATAATATAACACGTACTTTACAACTTTAAACTTGATGTTCAATATATAATGCTTAACTTTATCATATACAGGAACATTTAGAAAAATTTCAAATGTTGTCTAGTGACGATGTTATTCAGGCTGAATGGCGTGCTCGTGAATTAATTAATCAAGCTGAATTTAATCGTTCATTTACCGATCAAACAGGCGAAAATTTTTCAAATTCAAAGCATAAGAAATTAGACGTACAAGTACTACATGACACTACTACATCCATACAAACTGATTCCACAACCAACATTTCATCAGATAAAAGTAATAGTTCTGAATCATCATCTGATTCAGGAAATAGCCCACCGGCTTTTTTGCCTGATGAATTCAGAGTACAATCTCATATTGCCAATATCCCTCAATTGACCCCAGAGTCAAAACAGGAATCAAAACAGAAAGCAAAAGTTTTACAACCTGTTGCTTACAGTGACTGTACGTACTATTTTTACCAATCAGAAGATGGTCAGCATATGTATTTGCATCCATTAGATATTCGTATCTTGAAACAAGAGTTTGGGACTTATGAACAATTCCCAAATGAGATATCAGTACGTATTGTTAATGTAGAAGAATCTACAATTACAGAGGTATGTTATTTTCTATTTATTTTACATATTATATTTGAATATGATGATCGCATTCATAGTTTTTTGATTTATTTTCAGGAATTTAGAAAACGATGCAAATATCTCAGTCATTTACCATTAAGCTGTGACGTAACATTTTTAGAGGTAGACTTAAAAGGAATTGTTTCTGATTCCACGTTAGAAATATTTGCAAGTAAGTTCATTTATTATTTAAGTCTAAATCATGCTTATAAGCATAACATAATATGATTATTTCATTATATTATAAAGATGAGCTTCGACAACGTCAAAATCGTCGTAAAGAAAAGGCCCGAAAGGAAGAAAAAGCTGCACATAAAGAAAGACGTCGTAGAAACACTCAAGAATCTCTTAATACTGATTCCTTCTTCCAACCGAATTTATCAGGTGAAACTAGCAACAATAACAGCACACTATCACAACTTTCTATTGAAATGGAGTTCAGTAATAATCATGTAAACAATAATCCAAACACTTCGTTCAATGGACAAAAAACCGTTTGGGGAACCCCCGTTGCATCTTTTGCTAATGTTGCCAGCGGAAAAAACTTGGTTAAGCATGAAGATGTCTTTGTTGACGGTGGATGGGAATTTAAAGAAGAGGAAGTATATGTTGGTAAGAAGCATAAAAAGAAGAAACTTGTATTAATGTCTACAGGAGGCCAAAGGCAACAATAATAATAGCGAATATATATTCGTATAACCCTTTTCATTGATTCGAAAAAGATTTACAAGATTATTATAGATTTTAGGTTTTATTGTTTCTTTTGCAATTTTTTTTTTTTTTTTTTTTTTTTTTTTTTTTTTTTTTTTTTTTTTTTTTTTTTTTTTTTTTTTTTTTTTTTTT